TGGCTTGAGCTCACAATAGCTTTGCACAGAAGCGGTATTTCTTTTCCAGTCCCTGGCAATGGCAAGGACAGCTGGGTTCCTCTTTCGGCCAAGCCCTGCTCGTTCAGTCTCACGACAGTTGCCAGCCAGGTCAAGCTGGTGAAGCGCCTGTACACGATTGCTTTCAACTACTTTCGTGTGCCAGGGATTTATGTTGAGCACATCAACATTTTGAGCTGTGGAGTCCACCCTCCCCAACAGGGCATTTGGGTAGGAGCTTCAGCGGACTTTGTACAGTCCACAAGATCCGCACTTTGCGATTGGACCAGTGTCGGCCGGTTCGCACCGCCGCGGACCTCGCCAGGCCTTTTAGGTGAGGCGCCTTGAAATCGGGCTGCTGCACCGCTGCTTAGCCGTGCACAGACTCGACCGCCAAGTCGCGATAATCTTGATTGAATCTTCGGACGCGTTGCCGTTTTCTGCTTCAAGCCACCTAACAACACCTAACAATCATGCGTGAGGGTCCTACCCCTCTTTTTTGCGCCCGCCCACCCACCCTTTCACAGCTCAGGCGGGTCCTCCAAGGGCCCAGCCGCAGCTGGCACCCCAGGCCAGAGCGTCGGAGTGCCGACAGGTACCGCGCATCGCATGCCGCCGCACGCAGTGACTGCCTCGACAGGTCTCAGCCTTGCATAATTTCAAATGGCAAATATGGACTCAAAGAAAAATTATATATTCTTATGTATAGATATTCTATTCAAGAATATTCAAGAATATCTATAGAGGGCCAATAAATCTCATGATTTCATGATCAATTATGCGCATTCGTGAATAAGGCCTTTTCGCATTGGACTCTTCCAGCTGACGGCGCCATGTCGGTCTCACAATACAGCTTTGCCAATCTCTGTCTGACCAAGCAGCATTCTCCCCCAAACGCTTCTGACACGGAATTTGCAAAGATATAATCCTGGAGGAAAATTGCACGATGCACCGCCGTGCTGGCGCGAGTTTACGGGAACCCCATCAAAAATGGGCTGCACGAGTAGCATCTTCGTATGGTAGGATATTCCAGGTGGTGACTGAAAATAGGATACTTGAATCGCCCACGGAATAATCCCCGGTCGATAAGTGCACAACTGTGTAAAGCCAAGTCCGAACTCTTGGGACAAAGAAGCGCGGGTGGAGAAGGGTATGGAAGACTCTCAGGCTCTTGGGCTTGAACGCCTTCATCCTTCGGAGGACCATGGATGGACAATCTCTCAGAGCTGCATCAACTTCATATTGCAAAAAGGAACTAAGGCCTCACCAAGATACCCACATGTGGTTTATCCTGCCACACTTACAGCCAGTACTCGGGAAAACCTTATCTGGTCAAAAGTGTAAGCAATTCCAATTTGCAGAATGGGTCATATGACGGCATCCGCGACGAAGATATTGCAAGACTTGTGACGGGCTACACAAAACGAGTCCACGCAAATCAAGTGACTGGATTAGGACAAGCCATGCATCAATTGGAGGAGGGAGTGCTACAGACCGGGACGGGGGGGACGACAATACAATTCATGATAGGATATGACATATTGGGACCTATACGATGGGATGGACAGTAAAAATACCCATAATTCCTAGCCTTTCACTCAGCAAACAACGCCTTTCTGTAAAGTCACCATGAGATTTGTTGAACGCGGCCAAGGCAAGTCCCAAGGCCCCCAACGTGGACCAGAGAATGGAAGGAGGAACGTGTCACGGCCGATGTATGGGGGACCACGACGGGGCAATGACGGGGCTATGATAGAACGTACGATGGGCTATGCGACGGGACGGGGCGGGTGTGACAATATATTTTATGACAGGATGTAATATAATGAGGTTTACGACGAAATGTGGGGACCAGGACACGACCTATGACGGGGTACACAAAGGGGAAAGAACTTGGGTGATGATCAAACGGATGTAAATGTTGGATTATATAGTCCATGCATTGTGTAACGCCCCAACATGTCACATCCTGTCATGAACTATATTGTCGCCCGGCCTGCCCCGTCGTGTAATCCGTCGCAGGTCCCGTCATGGCTCCGTCATTGGCCCGTCGTAGTCCCCCACACATCATCCGTGAAAGACCCCTCCTCCAATTCTTTGGCCTATGTTGGTGACGGTGTGGGCTCGTCTTGTGTAGTCCGTCAATGTTCGTGGCGGGGTCCGTCGTCGCACTGTACAGCCCGCACGGCATCCTGCAGCAACCAATGCCTTCGATTGTTTAACGCCTCACAGGTAACACGCCTGGCGCCTGGTCGAACACGCTTTGTTGACCGCGGGGGCATTTGAGAAGGCTCCGCAGGGGGGTGCAGACACGGGGCAAGGACACGCATTGTCTTTCTCCCTGCACCCCCGAGCCTTGACTTCCAAGCAACGCCTTATAAAGAAAAAGAGCAAGCGCACCTTTTGTCGGTCGTACTCTTTTGTCTTTTGCTGCATGTTCCCTTACGGATTGAAGCAGTGATCAAGATTCTAACCAATCCGAAGGTTATATTTTGTTCCGACAGCATGAGCATGGAGGAGATTGCTAAAGTGTGCGCAATGTATTTCTGCTGCCGGCTGACGTTGAGACGTGCCGTTGGGCGTTTTGTGTGGTTTTGATTTCCCCCGCGGAAATGCTTTCAGCGGGGCTGCCCTGATCACATCCACAGAACCTGAACATATTTGACGCGGCTCTCCCCCGTCATCAACCTTGTCGGGGTTTCTGGGAACTCAGTGGTTTTGCTCAGCGTGGAGCCTCGCAAAAGGATTGTTGAGCTGAACCACGCATCCCCCGCTTTGCGTCCATGGGCAGTGTTCCTGCTGGAAAATTTTGATTTGTTTCGGTTTTAGTACCCTTGTTTTTCTTGCTTTCCCTTCCGAGCACTAAGTACTACCCATGCTTCTTTGTGATTTGTTGTGAATGGTTAGCGTTTTGCAAAAACATGAACCAGTGGGAAGGAACCTGCTAACGATCGATTTTCTCACCAGTTGCCGATGCGTGTTTGGTTTGTTGCGAGTTTGTCCTTCCCAGCATTCCCTCATGCACCTCCCGCGCAGGTTGAGCCCTGGTTTTAGTGCTTGAACAGCCGAATCAACAACAAGGATGAGAGGCCGTTTCTGGAAAGGGAGGCGGTTGTTGAGAGTGTTGTGAAGCAACTAGAAAAGATCCAACGGAACGGGACCAACAAGCCGACGGTGGTGGCCTTGTGGAGCCCGCGGGGAAAGGGCAAGACATCTCTCATCCGACATTTGGCAAAGGTCTCGAACTTTTCCGAAAGTCGACGGTGCGGACGGCTTTTGGTCTTTGACGCGATGGAGATTCCGTCAGCGCTGGCGAATGAAGATTCTGATGTTCTGGCGTCTGCCATCATCCTGTGGCACCTTTGTGAGATCTTCAATGACTACTCTGTGCAAGTTGAACAAGGGCCTGTCAGTTTCCAGAGTATGAGACTTGCCACTTTGGTGAACTTACTCAAAGGATTGCAAGTGGAAGGTGAGAGCACCACGTTTTGCAAGTGGGTTCGATCATGGTGCAAAAGACCTGCTCATGCTTTCAAACAGTGGAAATCGGTGACGGCTGCAGCCTTCAATGCAGTACCAGCCTGTCCTTGCTTAGTGTTCCTCGATCAGGCAGAGCTGCTTGTGACCAGACAGGTCGAGGGACTCAGCCAATTGTGTGGAAGGAAGTCAGTTTTCACCGAGACATTCAGCCAATTCCCGCAGAAGACGGGCATGTTTTCGGCACACGGTGAATATTTTGACTGATAGGCCATCAGAGGAGTACACCATGCTTGAGGTCCAGGAAGTACCGGCTCTGGCGCCACTGTCGCTGCAAGCCGCCAGAAAGGCTATGATGGAATGGAAGGGCACGCAACACAAGAAGAACGAATTCAACAAAATTCACCTGTTCTCTGCTGGGGTACCGCGGCTTCTGGAGGAGGCTTTCAAGAATGAGCTGGCAGCAACTGCACAGACTGCAATCACCCTCATGTTGGACAAGTTCAAGAACTCGTATGCGGATGCAGCCCCCTACTTCAATCAGCCAGAAGTGGCTTTGGCGTTGGTTCTTTGCTCGGCGGTTCGATGGCCTCTTTGCCCAGCTGTTGTTCGAAACAACTCCTCCCGAGCAAAGCGTTTGCGCCGAGCGCGGGAGTGCGCGCCACATTGAACGCCACCCTGTGCATTTCGTGAACACCACCTTGAACATTCATTGAGCACCTCCTTGAGCAAAAACTTCGCACTGCAAAAACAGCATCATTTTTGTAAAACAAAAAAAAACAAGAAACAAAACATGCGGGCTTTTATTCATGCGTTTTTTGCCGTGTTCAATGTGGTGGTCTATGTAGTTTTCAATGATCGTTGAATGGAATGTTCCGGACATCGCTGAATGCAGTGTTCAGTCACTATCCATTGGAGCCCCTGTTAAATTGGAAAGTTTCCGTACCTTCCCGAGTCATGATTGACATGTGGGAATGAACGAAATCTTGCACTTTTTGTAAACACCAACAACATTGAAAGGGGGAGCGGGGTGTGCGGCCTGTTCAGCGGCAATGTGGAGTTGGGAGAGGCGGTGCAGGATGTCATTCATTAACCGTATGTATTTTGACAAACGCACGGCGGCCGAACGTTGTATTGCGATCAAACAACATGCGCAGACCTCCTGCTCTGGCGCTATTCTGGCTCCGGTATGTAGCAAAACAGACGCTTGTGAACGCGAAACCACTTAAACATGCTTTCCAGAGGTGGAAGCAACTCAGGAGCTTGGCAGTTGCGAACTTATCAAGGGATTGAGTTGTCACAGGCTGACTTTGTGTGTTTGAGATGGAATCGGGTCCTTGGCGTGTTCGCGTAGTGAGTTTTTGCAAAATGTAAAGAAAAAGACAATCTTCCACGGGAGGACTTTCCATCAGACCGAGGTGCTACATACATACAACCGTGTGTTGGAGTGAATAAATAAGTATTGAACTTCTGTTTTGTTTTTGCATTGAGTTCATGTTTCAACGATTCCAATCCACTCCGACGCATTTCCATGGTTGCTGGAGATGTCAATGGCGCGAGCAACGGGAATGCCCCCTGGCATCAGTCACTCTGTCCAGGGATTCTCAGAATTACTTTTGGATCTCGGTGGGAAAGACCTTACTGCAATCAGCTGGAGGGAGGGTATTTTGAGGATGTTGTTTCAGTGCTCCCGGAATGGTGGGTTTCCGCGCACTTGGATGGTTCCTTTTGAAAATTGAGAGAGCACCCGAAACAGACCCCTAACAGCCTGAAGGCGCGGGGCAAGATCGACTTTGGGGTCAAACGCAGACGGGTTCTTCTTCAACTCGCTAGGGCCAGAAAATTGGGTCTCGCAGTTGCCCTTCCCTTATTCCGCTTCAGAAGAACCCAAGGCTAAAAGAGGGGTACTGGGGATTCAGATGATGTGCCATGGTCGGACACCTTGGCAAAGACCTAAATATTTCCCTATGTCCTTTGGTTTCATCTTTTTAGGCTTTTGGCTTGCAACTTGTGATGTTTGTGACCTGGAATTGGGGCCTTTGGGAATGAACGTATTTGGAAGGTTCCCACCTTTCAGCCGTGCGTTGAACAAGACACTCAAGGAGTACAGGTGAGGCCGAAAGGTGGGCCTACCATCCTCTTGGTTTCCATAGACCCCCATTGGGCTTTCCTTCGAAACCAGCTTCGGAGGTTCCCGCGCGTGGTCACCCTGCCACCCCCCACCCCCCACCCCGCACCCCCCACCCCCACCCCTTACCCCGCACCCCCCAACTTCCACCCTGTCTGGGGTGGTACCCCTCACTCCGCGCGCGTTGCCCAAAAAGGCGGGGAAGCCGTGCATCCAGTGCCGGCGCCCGCCGCCAGCGGGTCCCGCCCGGGCGGCCTTTGGTGTGCCGCGGCTTTGAGGGAGTTGGGATCCGCGGATCCCTGGAAGTTTTGTTTTTGGGGGGTCAATAATGAAGATACAAGCAAAAACAACAAAATCTTTTGAGTTGCAAGTTTTTTTTTGGTTAATAATGAAGATACACACAAAAACAACAATCTTGTGACAGTTGCAGATATAGGAAACAGATCCAGGTTGGACGGCCTTCAAATGGCAGAGTGGCAGTTTCACCTGTTTGGACCTTTGTCTTGACAGGTTTTTTGTTTGACCAGCGTTTCACATGTTTAGATTTTGTTTGCGGCGGTTGACAGGTTCTCGACCATTTTGACAGTTCGTTTTTGGACACATCAAAGGTGGTCCTTCCTCCAAATACTCGGTGTGTTTTTTGTTTGGCTAAACAGTTGTGGCCCAAGCTAGGTTTTGAAGGCGGTCAACGGCTTAGTCCAGGTTATAAACCACTGAACTGCCGGAAGAGCTCAAACAATGCCAGGAGACTCACCAGTTAAGTACCCCAGTGCAAGAGCACTACCAAAAGAGGAGAGAGGACAGATAAGGCTGCTACCCTTTGTTTTCAATCGATGTGGCAAATGGCAACGGAGCACAATCCATGGCAAAGGCAAGGAGAAGAAACCAGAAGGTAATTCCAGCAAGCTGTAAGTGCCTCCAAGCTGTAGGCATCACTACGCCCAAATGGAAGGGAAGTATGAGGAAACCGCAGAAAAGAATGCGCCGAAACCTTGCAGGCCTGCGTGGGCTCAGAAGGTCCATGGATCTGGTCCAAAAAATGACACCCGACGTGGATGCTATCTAGGTGGTGTCCCGGCCATCCGGTTCCTTGGCTTCTTGTACTTTTTGGTTTTGTGGTAGTTTCTGACTCCAAAACCCACAAGCTCGCCATTCGCAGGATCAGAACGTCTGGACACGGACAGCCCCAGCTATGATCCTCTCAGGAGCCGGTAGATCTGAACATCTGAAAACGGACGATCCGATCACTTTCCCTCACGCCACGAGGCTCTGACTCCTCTCCCTGAGGCGCCGGTGGCGCGCCTGGTCTTCGGCGCTTGCCTCCACGGGCCCTTCTGCGAGACCTGCCGCGGCCACGTGGCGCGGTGCACGCTGCCAGCCTGCGTGTGCCGGGTGCTGCTGGAGGGCTGGCGGGAGGCGGAACGGGGGGAGGGGGAGAGGGGCCAAGGTGCGAAGCCAGCGTCGTTTTGTTCTTGTGGTGTGTTTGTTCTTGTCTTTTTTGTTTTGGGTGAGGGAGCAATGCCCTAGCATCTTTCTTTTTTTTTTGGGGGGGGAGGGAAATGTTGAGCTGGATTATTGCTCCCAGTCGATTATTGGGGAGTGTCCCCCAATTTTTCCCGGGAGGAGCCATGGGTCGTCCAAGTCGTCGCCACAAATGGCGCCCGAGGCGCCCTGGCCGCCGGCTGGCCCCGAGGATCGATCCGCGCCGCAGGCCGGTCCGGCCGTCCCAGTGGGCATCCCAGGGTGGGGCCCAAAGTGACGCGGACCCAATGAAAATCAACCAGGCTGTATTTCTATGGGTAGCTTCTTTCTCGGGGTACCCCAATGAAAACCGCCAGCTTGTGGTTTAAAAGCAGGGATCAGCCCCTAGACATGTGAATCCATCCTTCTTTGTAGAAAACCTCCGGGTTTACCCAGGGAAAGCGGCCGGTTTTTGGAAAGGGCGATGGTTGAAAAGAATGGGAAATCAATCCCTAGAGTATTAGTCCGTTCACCAGATTGCTTTAAAGGAATGAAGTACTCGGACTGGAAGGGACAGCGTCCTCCTAAACTGTTGGAGTCGGACAAAGGCACCCCCTTGTGCCCAAATCTTGGCAAACCGAGTCGGGCGTTGAGGCTCGCTATGCTTTTCGTGGGGTTGCTTCAAACGGACACCACAGGCACTCCGAAAGCCATTTTGGGAGACTCACCTATCTGGTAAACTGCTATTTGTTTTGCATGGGAAGTAAGGCAACCTTCCCTTTGAGGACCGCCCGTCGTGGGCGAGGTGCAGCTCGTAGCTCGTGGACCGTATGGATGGTTTTCCTTTGTGTCTCCCCTTGTAATCCAAGCAACCTCCATCAGCACACCCCGAAACAAGATCCCCATGACGAAACCCGCAGCCGGAAGCGGGGCAGATCGAGCAATCAAGGCGCGCGCAAGCGTGTGCTGGCTGCAGTCCTTGGAGGCGCGCAGATTCCGCATGTGCGGAGTACAAATCCTGCAGCTGGTAGGTGGTTTCTCCGGTCGCGGGTTCGCTTCGGTCCTAGTTGCTGGCTCGCTTCGGTCCTAGCTTTCATCTCGCTTCGGTCCTAGTTTCCTTACTCGCTTCGGTCCTAGTTTCTTCGCCGTTGACTATGGTGTTTGAGAGGCAACATCCTTGTCGACCCCACCCCACCCGGCATGTCTTGTTGTTAGGTGTTTGAGAGGCAACATCCTTGTCGACCCCACCCCGCCCGGCATGTCTTGTTGTTAGGTGTTTGAGAGGCAACATCCTTGTCGACCCCACCCCGCCCGGCATGTCTTGTTGTTAGGTGTTTGAGAGGCAACATCCTTGTCGACCCCACCCCGCCCGGCATGTCTTGCTGTTAGGTGTTTGAGAGGCAACATCCTTGTCGACCCCACCCCGCCCGGCAGTTCTTGTTGTTAGGTGTTTGAGAGGCAACATCCTTGTCGACCCCACCCCGCCCGGCAGTTCTTGTTGTTAGGTGTTTGAGAGGCAACATCCTTGTCGACCCCACCCCACGCGGCATGTCTTGTTGTTAGGTGTTTGAGAGGCAACACCCTTTGCGTGTGTCCTGTTGTTAGTGCTCAAAAAGCTATCTTCCACTGCGCCTGAAGTGATCCAAAAATTGCGACAGAAGTGATCCGCAAATGCTCAAACTACGACCAAAGTGAGTGGATTTCAGCTGCGACCAAAGTGATCCAAAAACTGCGACCAAAGTGATCCCCCCGCCGGTTTCTCCCCTCTAGCGTTTCATCCATCCAACAGAGGTAAGTGGATTCATGAAAATCGCGCATCTCGCTCACTTTTCGGCCAAGGGGATTCTTTTTTTTGTGTCCGACCTGAGATAAGTCTTGGGACACGGCCGGGTGGGTTCCATCCGGCCAGGTGAATTGTGGCTCCCCGAGCAGCATTGACATGCCCCGCTTGAAATTTAGCCCCACAATCTAGCCCTCCCCCAAGAAACAAACAAACCAAAAAGCGTCCCAGCTAGTCCGAGTCCTGACTCTAAAGCTTCTCATCTCAAGAAGCACCTTTAGTCTTTCGGACGGTGAGCGAGCGAGTGTTGGTCCCTTGCTCCAACCCCCCGACGCTAGACCCGACAGGTCAAGCCTAGACACGGGCCCGAAGCTGAGAGGAAAGGCGGAAAGGTCCAGCCACGTGGGAACACGAAGCCGTAAGGTTCGTAAGGGAGGAGTCCAGCCAGAAAAAGCTGCCGCCTGCTCAGTTCTTTCCATGGTATCTGGGTCGACCATTGTTGCACCGGGTTTTGATTCTGAGGGTAAATGGGAAGCTACCTCCTTCCAAGCCACCCAGCCACGTGCTGTCGGTACAAGCCCTGGTTGAGGCTTGGGGATTTGAAGCCGCCACCACGGAAGCTGAGTGCCCATCCTTTCAAATACCAAGGTCCGAATCCCATTGGGCCCGATGCATTTTGAGCCCAGGGGTGCAAGCCCAAAGAGGGGAATCGCTTGAAGCACATAGATTGCAAGACCGGAGCCGTTGTCTCGCTTGCAAGGTTAGACTCCAACCACTCTATCAACGTCTTTCGCAAGCACAGCGGGCTTGCAGTAGGCAATCTTCGAGACTGCTTTGGACGCGCCAGGCGCAAACAACGGGTCGCTCAGGCCCAAAACCCAAGGCCTTTCGGATGCTTTGAAGGGTAACCAATTGGACTTCAGCCACTTGGGTGGGATGATCCGGATTGTCCAACTCAGATTGAAGCACGCCCAACTGGACAGTCAAAACCCGAACGAGGGAATGCTTGTAGGGGGAGACTTCTAAGCAGAAACGCTCTGTTGATTTCTTACAGTGTCTTGGGTGAACCCATTGAGTACCAGCTTGTGATAGTGACTGAGCTGAGGACAGCTCTGTCTCTAAAGAATCCTTGGTATCTTTATTGGTCACTTTGAACTCATCCCCTGATTGAAAACGGTACACTTCCATTGAGTGTATCCATTTGTTTCTGTTGGGAAGCCCTTTTGGTGGGTTCTAAAGGTAAACCAAACCAAGCGAGAGAGAGCGCCATTTGCAGGAAGCCAACAGGAAGCCAAGAGGAAGCTACTCAGCGCAGCCACAGTCGCCCAGGCTGCAGCCGGCGCAGGCTTTGGCCTCTGCAGCGGCGGACGAGCAGCGCATGTCCGCGCCAGAGGCGCGGGCGAGCGCTGGCTCCGCGGGCCAGCGGGGTCCGCTCAGTTTTTGTTTTTTGTTTCGCACGAATTTGATGGTTTCAGGTGGTGCCTTTCTTTGGAATTGGACCCACATCTCCCGTCCACAAATGATTCGATGGTGCTCAGCAGGGGAACAAGTGCAGATTACCCCTTAAAAACCCATTGTGGCTTGATTTGGGGGGATCCTTATTTCACAACCCTTGACATTCCCGACTGAGAACGAATCAGTCGCCACTGGTCGCTTGAAGTAGGACAGAACTCGGTGATGACTCGCAGCAATCAAAGAGTCAACTTCGGGAAGTTGCTCTTCCGATTACGATGCCAGAAGGAGTAAAGAGGTGAGCACCGTTCTCATGTGGGTGTGGCTCAAAATTAAACAGGAGGGGCAAACCGCAGGTTTTGGTCCATGTTTCCACTTACCAGGGCACCCCATTTTGGTACCGGTTTTTTGAGCCACAGCTATGTGTTTTCGGTTGGACGGGGCCAGACAATATTTTAAAAATCCCAGCTTTTTTCCTCTCCTCGAAACGGAGCTCGCTGAGAAGCTGCAGGCGCAGGTGGCTCCTAGCTTCGAGAGGCGCGGGGCTTGATCATGTTGATCCTAGGTGTCCTTAGGCTTTTTTTTGGTTAGAAACATGTGGGTTCCACTGGTTTAGGTTGGTTTTATTGCATGTGCCGGGATCTATTTCACCAAAAGGACACCTTCAATGTTGATCCTCTATTCTGCTCGTTCTTTGGAGAAGGTTCCAGGTGTTCAACCATTCTTCTGCAACAAATAGAAAGAGCTGGGAAGTACAACCAGACTGAGTTTCAGCCTCCGCGCGGTCCGTGAATCTGATTCTCGGCAAGCCGCCAACGGGCGGTTTCCGTTTGCCTTGAGTTGGGATCCTCACAGGAACGCCGTCTTCAAGAAGCGCGAGGCAAGGGAGGACCTGCTGGGAAGCGGGTGTTGCCGTGGCATCGGCGCGCACTTTTGGCATCACTTTTGTCGTTCCTTGCGCCAGTTTCTCAGGCTGCTGTCGTGGTGTACGCCTCATGACTCGATGCTGGATATCCCAAGATCACACAGCAAAGCTCATGCGGTGATGTTATGAGCGCAGGAGAAGTTTGCGTTCCGCTACCAGAAGCGGACTGCGGCTCCGGAGGCAGAGGCAGGAGCTGAAAGTGAGGTGCTATGTGCATGATTGATGCCAAGTATTTGCTTCAAGTCTATGCAGGAGTGCCGGGATGAGGTAAACATCTTCTGGGCAAATCATCATTTCTGCGGCGCTCACCTAGGGGTACAACAAGCTCAGTCTTGTCGATTGATAGAGGGTCCTTACTGGGATGTGAATTGGGTCCCGGACCCTTTGGCGGACAGAACCGAATTCGGCGGGGCTTCATGTCCACCAAAGTTCGAGGTGCCCAGTCCTTAGCTTCATAGAGTCATATGGGTATGGGTCAAAATCAAAGCCACCAGGAATTGGACCGCAGGTTTTTTCGTCCAGGTTTCCCATTTCAGGCGGGCGGGCAACCCGTTTCGCCACCAGATTTTTCGCCCCGTGCAGGCCGAGCTGACCGCAGCCCAGGTCACCGGCTTACGTTTTTTCTTCTTTTTTGGAGGCGAGAAGGGTTTATTGTGTGGCGTCTTGTTGGGTTTCCGGGGTTTTGGGTGGGAGAAAGCGGGAGGGGGGGGGGGGGAAGGGGGGGTGAGTGTTCTTGTTTTTGTTGCATTTTCCAGCATCATCCAGCAAAAATCGCCTTGTTGAGACTGATGGCTGGAGACAGTTTTTTTTTGGTCACGCGGGGTGAGGTCGCCGCAGCTGTTGCCGCGGAAGCATCTTCCAAGGGCCGGCTCATTGAGGACGGCTGAAATTCTCTCACCCTTACCTGGCTGTACTGCCCAAAGACGACTCTTGCATAACATTTTTGAACCATACCAAACACAAGTGGTTTCGTCCAACCACGGAGCCAAAGATTCAAGAGATTCAACAAGCTGCAAGAATGGCAAAATGATAAGTAGCCAGTGATACACAATCCTAGATCAACAAGACAAGCCTGAAACGGCTTAGCCCAGCACGCCACCGTAGTTTTGAGGCTTGGTGCCCTTCTTGGGACTGTGCTGCGAGTTTCGGGGCCCGGTTCGGTTTCCTGTGTCTTCCCATGCGCTGCCATGGCTTCTCTCACGGGTTTTCTCTGGTTCTGATGGGTTTCCTATGCATTTTGCCCTCTCTGCCACGGGAGCCACGTGCGAAACCAACCTGTCACGTCGGTTTTGAAGGGAGCAACTTATTTTGTTCGGCGACTTATTTCGTTTGCCCTTCGGCGCTTCATCCTTGGCCCCTGGGTACCCGGATGCAAGACTTCCGTCAAAAGGGAGCCGAAGTTGACGGCCCGAGCGATTCCATTCGACAAGCCGAGGGGCACGTTCAGTGGGAGTGCAGCGATTCGGATGAATGAATTCCTCGATCTCCCGAAAGCTCCAATCAGCAGCCGAACTGCGCACTTGGGACTAGGGTGCGCTGCCATTGCACCACGGACCCTTCAGGCTGAAGTCCAGAAAAACACTTCTGCAGCCTGTTCCGAACGAAAAGACAGTCGCGAAAGTTGGTCATTGCTCACATGCTTTCTATTGTACACAAGCGTCATTTGCCATGGCCAACGTTGTCCCCGAGTGACCCCCCGTCAAACAAAATCACATGGGCATGGGTTTCGCCGTCTCCAGGACAGCCATCCGAAAACTGCTCCAGCCAAGTTCCAGGCGCAGCTGACGGCACCGAAGGCGCGGGGGTTTCCGATTCCGCGAGGTGGCACTGACTGCAGAGCAAGAGTTAAATGGAAGGCGATCAAAGTCAGCAACCGAGGCCTGAGGGGTGTTTCTCTTCAACTCTGATACTGAGGGTTGACTTTGACCATGGTAAAACCGCGAGGCCAGTTTGAGGGGTCCCTTTGTGATGTGCAGCAGTTATTTATCTTTCTAGTCTTTTATTATTTATTATTTACCTTTCATATCCTTCTCTTTTCTATCTACCATTATCCTTTTTGTACCTCCTCACTCATCCCTTCGTTCGGCCATCATAAATCTCCAGAAAAGCAAACCATAAAGACCAGAAGGGGAATGGGAGATGGGATTCCTTCGTCATCTCCCTCTCTTTAGGTTTGACCTCGAACTAGATCTGAAGGTAATCTCTGGCGAAGGATTGTCCTTTTTCACAAGGTTATGACCGCGCCTATTTGAAGCGCACGCGAGGACAAGGGCAAGAGCAGTGGCCCGAAAGCCAAGAAGCCGCGGCTCATAGCAGCGGGAGACAGCGACAGTGAGTGAGTGAAATTGGGGGTTCGTCCGAACATATGAGTCTGTGACAATAGTGGCAGTGTAGTGATTGGTTTGTTGAGGACATGGCGGGGGGAGCCAACCCCAAGTTTCCGGCCCATCACCTACATGTTTTGTTGGGAAGCAAGTCATTTTGCCTGCAGCACTCATGAGTGAAGAGCAAGGCTGATTACTCCCCAGATGCAACTGCTCCACGTTCAGTAGAGGAGGACAACGTGCCTCAATTCCAGACGGCGCAGCGAAGCACCGACATGATGGAACTGCCCAGCCCGCACTGCTCTGACAGGAGAGAAGAACCTCGCCAAAAGACAAACTCGCACAGCACAGCGTGTGTACGTGCATGAATAGGTTGCACATCTGCCAGTTGCAGATTGTCCCAGCACCATTCTTGGTCCTTGCGTTGAAGGAAAAATGTGTCCCATGTGAGGTTCCTTCAACCTATCCGGTCAAAGATTGATGTGGCCACGTGCACTAAATGGGTTCGGAACTCACCGAACTCAAGTGGCTGGTGGTTGCCTGAGTTCCGAATCCTGATGTCCGCCGTTTCGGCTCACGCGTCGGGTGCTTCCAGGTGGCCGGCTCAAACATGGCATTTGGTTCAGGTGCCATACCAAAACTTTTTGAAACCATAAGGACCCCCCCCCAGTTTGGGCACATCTTTGAAATGGGGACAAGAATCCCTGACAGCTGACGAATGGACAGGCAAGTACTCTTACCCAAAGACGAATGCAGCGGCTGAGCAAGCAGTTGGGGCCAACATGGAGTCGGAAGAAGCCGACTCAGTATGCCAGGCGGAGGCTTGCTTCGGATGTGTGCGCATCCGACTTTCGTCTGTCCTGCCTGTTTTTTCGTCAGGAAGCCAGCGCCAAAGGCTGGGTTCGCAGTCCGACTTGACATGCGCCTTTTGTTGCGGGTGCCCGTTGTTTGGTCGTTTTAGAAGGGAAGTTAAAAGGAACACCACCGGTTTTGGAGGGGGTCCTCTGCAAAGAGACGAACCACTCATAGTCCTCATCTGCGGCTTCGCCAAGACAAAGGAGATGGCCGCTTCCTGCCCAGTGTTTCGTGATTTGATTGCCTCAATGTGAAGTCTCTAGGAGAGTAAAACGTGGAACCCTTGATCTTGAACCCTCGACAGACTCGGCGCCGGCGGATGCAGTGCGGGCCGATGCAGCAGCCAGCAGAGCAGTGCTGGACAATGCAGTGCCCGCTGATGCAGCGCCTGTGGAGGGTGCAGTGCCTCCCAATAGCGATGCGGCTGAGGCATGCGTCGGCGCAGGTGTTGGCAGATTGGAAGTACAGCTGGGGGAAAGCAGATGGCACAATTCGCCCAGTTGGGTTTAGCCTACCCAAAGAAAAGAAATCAGGCCATCTTACACTGAGTTGGCATGCTGTCTTGGGTTCTTGCAGGGAATGGAAGGCTCATTCTCATATTTCCTATTAAGACGACGCAGAGCAAGCGTCAACCTCGTTTGACAACGAGGTAGATACCCAGCCAAGACCGGCTCATTTCCTGGGTAGGTACCGCACATTTTCCACTAAGGTCAGATCAAGATGCAAAATGCCAAGGGCACCGGAATATTAGGGCACAATGGGACAGATGGAAGCAACAACTCTCAGGGAGAGAATGAGGCTGTGCGAGACGGGCAGATTCAGGGAGCGGAGTCGATCAGGTGACACCATTGATGCAAGAATTCATCACAGACACAGCAAACAGAAATGCTTATGGGTCAAAATTAAGACACCAGGAGACCACAGGTTTTAGTCCATGTTTACGTTTAACAGGGTTCCATTTTGGATACCTATGCAGCCAAACCGGTATCCTTAAGAAGGCTGCGAGCAACTGCAGAAGGGAAACCCCGAGAAACACAACACCTCATGTATTGCCAAGACAGATAAAACGGAAGGCATCCTGGCAGGCTCGGATAGCGAGGTAGACAAGAGTACCGGAAGTTGAACAACGTGGCTGGTAAAGCTTGGGTTACCCTCTTTGCAAAACCCTGCCATGCATTTCCATGATTGTTGGCAAGAGACCTTTCATGCCACATGGGGCAAGCTTTCCAAATACACCAAGATTCCGTTTCAAAGACGCGACCAATCCGCAAATGCACGCAAGAGAAGACTGGATGAAACGACCCAACAAACCAGGGGAGAACAGGTGACAAGCTCACAATCCCGACGCGCCTCACAAGTCTGATGTTCAAGCCGTATCAACTCTCGCTCTTTTAAGACTTGCATAAGTCAACTTGTTGCCTGCTGCCAGAGAAGACTTGCTCGACCACTGAAACAGCGCGGTTGAACGCAGCTCTGCAAGCGCTAGATTGGTTTTCGCACTCCATTCGTGAAGTGTGTCTCGCATCTGTTGTTGCCTGTATAAAAGTCTTCTGCTCCTTGATGAGTAGGTGGGTTTAAATGGAACCCATCGAACATTCGTCTATTTGTTTGCCCCCCCTTCTGGATTCGCTGGATTGTGGCGGTTGCCTTGTGGTGAGGCCAGTAGATTGTCTTCTACCTATTTGGTGAATCTGACGTACTTTTGCCGCGCTCCTCTCACATTTGTCGCTGGACGAAACCGACTGCATCATTCATTTCAGCAAACCACACACACACACACGGGCAAACAAAAACACACGCAAACAAACCCACAAACAAACCCACAAACAAACCCACAAACAAACCCACAAACAAACCCACAAACAAACCCACAAACAAACCCACACATTCACTCAAACACACACACACACACACACACAAACAAACAAACCCACACACACACACACGCACACAAACACGCAAACAAACCCATCCCATTTTTTTGCGGGGGCGTTCCCTGGCTTGTTGCATCCAACTGTCGAATGGAGGCCGAGGCGGAGTGGTACTTTCAGGACCGGAGCGAATGGAGTCGAAAAGGTCCTTGATGGGCAGGTGTCAAATCAATTTGGGTTCTTTTGGTGGTTTCTTTGGTGCTTGGTCCATCGATTAGCCAAAAATTGTTCCCATGGGTGGATGTAGGTATGTTTAACATATAGGGAGCCCCGAAATGGCTGGCTTCTCTGCAGTTAGTTTTCCGTTAAACCCCAAAACGGTCTCCAAGCTTGTTTGCCCAGATTTGGTTATGAATCACAGGGAACCGCCGATCCAAAAGGGGACCTTCATCTCTGCGGTTTTCCTTTTGGTTCCTTCAAACACCACCAAACACGGGTTTTACCTACTCCAAAAAAGCCGTTGACCCATGGCTTTTTGCTCAGGAGCCCATCACCCGGCAGCCGGCGGGTCCCTGGACGATAACGCAAATGCGCACCAGGCGCCGGAAGGACCTGTCCGCTGCCTTCTCTCTCTCTTTTGTACCATGTTTTTTTGTTTGGAAGGGAAGGGAAGGACCATTTCTTGGCCCTTCTTTCCGTGCGGGTGATTCTAGCGTCTCCCGGCTTCCGCGCCGCAGGTGGCAGCGGGACCAGATCAATGGCCTCACGCCTGTGTGGCGCAACGGCATGCCCAGCTGGCCCCTCGCCCCGCGCGTTTCGCTGGCTTTCGTCGGCAACATTTTTCGTCGGCTGGGGTCGGTTTCTTCGTGTTTTTTTTTGACCCGTCCATTTGGAAGATCCTGACGTGGTGTCCCCTGCAGGGTCTCACTACTTCTATTGGCAGTTTTTGATTGCCTGCAATTAAGCAGCTTTCTGTGTCATGGTCCGTGTCGTTTGTTGTTTTGCTTTGATTTTCATGAGACATTCACAACTAGGGACAAGTCGTGCCTGCAAAGTGCCGAACAACTTGTTTCGATTCACATCAACAGAGGGGCGTGTCCATTGCCGTGCTGGGAAAGACCAGGCCCTCGTCATTTTTGTTTTTTTGGGGGGCGGGCCGCTGGATTGTAGGGAACCCTTCGAACGCAGGATCCAAGTTTGTTGTACAAGCTCAGGACCTCCGAACCACCAAGCTCCAAACGACAACTTTTTCGAGGGAAGTTGAGTTTGGGTCAAAATTAAGCCACCAAGAATTGGACCACAGGTCGCAGGTTTTTTAGTCCTTGTTTCAACTTGTTTCCGATCGGGCAACGTGGGCCATCTACCTCCACCCAACTCCCCCTTTCCAAGCCGAGTCCTTGTCCTAAAGGGACCCCTTGGACTCACAGCCGAATACAAACACCAGCTGAGTTTGGGCTTTTTGACGCCTCTTTAGGCGGCCCATCGCAGAGCTGCCGGAGCTCAAGGTGTGGCCACGGGTAGGGAAGACCCCCTTTTTTCTGTACAGTTGTTTGTCTCTTCTTTGTTTTTTCTCTCTCTCTTTTTCTTTTTTCTTTTTATGTTTTATTTCTTTTCTTCCTTTTTTTTCCTTTCTCTCTTTCATTTTTGTCCGCTCTCTCGCTCTTTCTCCAGTTTCTTTGTCTTTCTTTCAAGCTTTCCTTGATTAGTACTTGTCCTTTTCTTCATGCTTTTCTGGTGGCTTAAGCCCGCAAGCCGCAAGACAGTCATTTGATTTTCACATTCGAAAGTGTCCCCCCGTTTTTGGAACTTGACGTTCTTTTAGAAGAATCGATGTGCTCAAACTGGTTTGAGTTTGGAGTCACTCATTTACAAGTGGAACCCATGGATGTTTGGCAAGCGGACACGGCTTGGAGCGCCCCAATTAGCAAATTCCAAGTTGAATCCATAGCCCTGCTCGCTCGCCGCCCCTTCTGGCGCAGCATGGTGCTACCTGCGTGGCTGTTGGCTTTCTTTTCGATAAGCGAAGCGCCTTGCGGCGAGTTCGCAACATTGGGCCTCTTGGAGACACCGAAGAGAGAGCCACAATTTCCTTGTAAGAAATCGGCAAGGCCTGCGTATCTGCACAATCTCTCTGAAAGTTTGTGGGGGAGGAGGCCAAACCACTGTGTGGTGCCTCATGGTGTTTGCAGCATTTGCAAGGTTGGGCTCCTATTTGGCTGTGGGTCAGAAATAGGTACCCAAAATGAAACCCCGGCAAATGGACACATGGACTAAAACCTGCAGTCCCCTGGTGGTTTAATTTTGACCCATGCCCATTTGCATCTCCGCGGCCTTTGTTTTTGTCGGCCGTGTAGGGACAGGACTCGAAGTGTCACCCTCGCCATGTCGGTGCAGAGACCTGCATGGTGCAGGCGGGGTTGGACTGGTTGATGGGCTGATGAATAGCGAGTAGATGGGTGTGGGTCAAAATTAATCCGCTGAGGGCGTCCCAGCTATTAAAAAAAAATCTTGGTGCGCTGGTCTTGACTCATTTGAGGACTTTTGTAGTTTTCCTGGGCAAAATGCGGACGATACCCCGAAGGGATGGATTCGCCGGCAGAAGTTTTGCGATATCCCCAAAGAACCTTGAGGTCGGCATTTGAGGCTGAATCCCCCCCTTTCCCTCAGTCTGAACAGGCCCGGTCCACATCCATGGCCCTATTTCTCATAGTTTTCTTTGGGTAAAAGGAAAACAATACACGCCCTCCCACTCCTAATTCTTGCACTCGAAAAACAAGGAATCTTCTTTGGGGGATCCCCACAATTGGGTCCATCTTAATTTGCAGGGAGTGACCAGCCGAGTGCCTCAGCTGGGTGATCCAATTTCGAGCCTCCCGCAGGCAGGCCGCGCCGGGCGAGTACTCAGGCGCGAAGGATGTAGGACCGCTGGGTGTTGCAAACCAAAACCAAGGCTGCCTTCTTTTTGGGGGTGCCTGATGCCACAAAGGTGCCCCGACTAAAAAGACACACCCAGATGGCGAAACAAGTCGAACCTGTTTGGGATTGAAATGAAACCAGTTTTCTGAAAGGGTCGCTAGTTGTGACAGCCTGAATGAGTTGCTGTGCAAAACGTAGTTGTCTAAAACAATCGCCCAAGTCTGGATACGGGAACCCAGCTCACTACAGGTCGTGCGGGTGTTTTCCTTCCCGAAGCCACGAGTGTCTCCGAGAAGCCGAGAAGCCGAGGCGAGAAGAGAAGGGCCTCTGACGCCCCGGAGACCTCCGACGTTTGCCAGGAAGGGGGGGGGGAGGGGGAACTCGAAGGCCTGAAAAAAGGGGTACCCCCTGGACATTTTCCAAGAAAAGCCAACCAGATATCCACGTCAGCGGGCTCCAAGCCACCGAGGGTGGTTTGGATTGGTTGGGCCAAGGTCCCGGTGAGGTGATGGTTGGGGCGAACGAATTAGAAAGGGGCAGCTGCACCAAGGAAGGTCATGATCATCAGAGCCACAGTTTTTTGGGAATTGGCTGGTTCAAGGTAGTGCCCTTTGCACATGAACTACCCTCTCTATGCTTCCAGTCGTCACTGTGCTAGGAAACCAAGGGAGGACCATAATTTTCAGATCCAAGAGGTAACAATTCCTCCTTATGCAGAGACACAGTTGGAAGCCTGCATTTCTGATTTCTGATTTGAAGCACACACAATTCCGTGCACAAAGCTATGTCCGTGGCGCATTGTATTGGGCTTGGGGATGGCGGTTAGGCATTTAAGCGATAGTCAAAAAGCGGATGCCTTTTATGTGATGTCTTGCCCTGTTGTGATCCAATGCACAAAGGGACCATACAGGTCACCAAAACTGGTACTCTTTCTTTTTGAACCCAACAGACTCAGATTGGGGAAGACACGTATCATGTTCGGCGCACATCACTTAGGTTGAGATTTGTGTTCACCAACTGCTTGAGTTCGGTGTTTCCCGTAACTCACAGCCACTTGGGGACACAGCCCAAGTTTTGAGACAATGAAGGGCAACCAAAGGGAAAAACAAGAACTGTTTCCAGGGTTCAACCAGTTTGGACGAGTTTTTTGGTTTCCAAGCAACATTTGAAGGAGAAAACTGGCTAAACCACACCGCTTCAGGGGTTCAACCAACGACGCCTTTAGATGGAGACACCCCCCCCATTTGATTGCGGGTCAACAATATGTAGCCAAAATGGGTTGCCCTGGTAAATGGAAGCATGGACTAAATCTGCGGTCCAATTCCTGGTTTTAATATTGACCCACACCCACACAAGGCATTTCATCATCCAAATTGGGTCATTGCCACTGTTTTAATGGGGGTTGAACCCCAGGGTGCACAAAGGGACGGAAACCAATTACCCTCCCACGAACTAACATGGGTTGCACAGCCCATACCCAAATGATCAAAAAGCCCGGGCTCTTCCCTACCCGTGGAATCCACACACTGGTGGCTTTATTTTGACCCATACCAATTGCTCCATCAGATGCGCGATGAGCTGGAGCGCACGCGGCGGCAGCTGGCAGAAGAGCGGCAGGCCGATTGGGGCGGGGCCTGAAGGGGGCGGAGGGTTCTTCAGCTTGGAGCCAAGGAGCCAGGGATACTTCGAATCCAGAGCTAAGGCGCTGCAAAGCCCCAGTCTTGGTATACCCTTCCATTGGAAGGTGGGCGGGATCCAAGTCCACATTTTGAGACACGTACCTCATATTGGGGGGCGGGGGCGACCTCTCTGCTGGGCTGTTGCCATAGCCGTGAGATGGGGAGGGATCTCTGGGAAAAGCAAAGCAAAGGCAACCAATCCCCTGTGCTTATTTTGTGTGGGAAGTGGTGGATTTAGAACATGGTGATGATGGCCATCGCATGGAAGGACCAGATCCAATTTTCCGGTGGACTCGCAGGGGTGTCTGGATGCCCTCATAGTCAAGAATCAAGGGACATCCACTGGGGTTACCATTGCGCACAGTCGTTGTTCTTTGCCCCGGGTTTACTGGTCTCCTGTGAATGTGCCTTTTTCCTAGCCCCCCCCCAAAAGGAATTGGTGGTTTTACTGTTGGTTTCCCTTTCTCAGCCCACAGCAAAAGAGTTACCCTCGAGAAAAAAAGAGAGGAACAAACACCTAGATCCATGGATCTTGTTGGTTATCAGTTGGCTTTACCAGAGTGCTCCTCCCTCCCCCGTCACCGTCACCTTTGGCGTCGCGCCAGGGCATGGTAGAACTTTCATGGGTATTATTCTAGGGGTAACTTCCCCATTCTAAAAAGAACAATGGCTGAACAAAAATGCGGAATCAACCCCTAGAGGCATGTCTTGTTGGGGAACGCCATTTCGTTTAGTTGCCCTTCAAACCCAAACAGGGGCTCCCGGCCCCCGGAAAGTCTCGGCGAGCCTTTTGGAGGATGGCCTTTTCTAAAGACGCCTTTCCGAAATGGGAGGAACTGACGTGACAGTGGATTCCACGGTTTTTGTTCAACTTTCTTTTGGGAAGGGTTCCCCTTGAAGCTCAACCCTTAGAGGTGAGCAATGCGGTTGCTCAGCAGGGCAAGAGGGAATGACCCCTGTAAACCATCTCCAATTTGGTTTCCTATGGCACCGATCGCAAGTTGAAGCTCGACCAACCAAACAAACCAACCAAAGACTTTCTCAACTTTTTTCTGGGAAGGGTTCCGCTTTAAACCCAACCAACCAACCAACCAACCAACCAACCAACCAACCAACCAACCAACCAACCAACCAACCAACCAACCAACCAACCAACCAACCAACCAACCAACCAACCAACCAACCAACCAAAATTTGATTTGGTGGTGCTTCAGGTCTCCCAGAGGCTTCAGGAGCTCTTGGCGTCTCAGCACGCAGCCGCTCGGAAACGAAGAACGCCCGGGTTTTGCGGATGCAACAAGAACCGGTGGTGATGGGTGGCGGCGGCTCCTCTTTTTGAGGTTTTAGGACGCCGAAGGAACGCAAAGGGCATGGTTTTGCAGGCCGACATCTTAAAATGTTAGGCTGCGGGTGAAAAAGAGAGACCCAAAACGAAACCCTAAGTAAATGGAAACATGGATGAAAACCTGCGGTCCTCTGGTGGTGAATTTTTGACCCATGCCCATATGGGTTCTTTTCATTGATTTTGGCTTCGAGGAACCTACCGTATCTACTGTAGTACAGGCTGGGACTGTTTCTACGTCAACTTCGGATTGATTTGGAGGGCTCAAAGTTAGCCTTTTGACGTTAAACTTCGGATTGATCTGAACCCCAATCAGAGGGGAGACATCCCCCTTTTCCATGAAGGGCCACTCTTTTGAGCAGCAAGTGTCCGCCTCTGAATAGGATATACTGCTAGAACACAGCAAAAATGCAGCAGTGCAGTCAAAAGGGGTGTTTCCTGTTCTTGCGTTCTGCTGCGACCAGAAGGGTGAGCCTTTCCGAGTACCCAAGACGTTCCAATTGGCGGAATCTTTCTTGGATCGTTGCCAACTCACTTTGTAATGACTACCCTTTTCATGGAGAGGGGC